CAACTTTCATTGTAATCTTCATTTCTTTCTTTCACCCTTCAACAGTAGTGACCAGTGTTGGATTTGGCGGGTGCAGCCTTGGCTCAGATACCATTTTTACGTGTAAATTTTTTGGGGAAAAAAAATGAGGAAATTATATAAAATCAGGTATTAAAACTTTCAAATTTAAAATTAAGGGATAAAGTTTACTTATGTAAAAATCAAGTAATATATATAATTAGCCCATCCAATTCAATTAATACCCTAATCATTTCCCCCAAATTCTTCCCTTATCATATCCCGTCTCTCTCTATCTCTATACTTTATCCTTCGACTGCCATCACCATCAAGGAGCGATCGCTATAGGAGACACCTCTGACTCCGGGACCATCAGAATTCAGGCCATTTTTAAACTGTATTAATCTATTATCACTCTAACTTTACATCTTCTCTTCATCTCCCTGTTTGTATCTTCCTCGCGATGCAGATCTACCCACTCCGACGAGCTGTGATGGTGAAACGAATAGGCAAAGTAATTTCACATGAAGAAGCGAATTTGTGGTGGCGACTGTAATGAAGAGACGAATTTGAAAATTTGGATGGTATCTTGTGTGGTGATGGGGGTGGTGTATTTTTGGTGGTAGCTGGTGTTTGGGTGGGGTTTGGATGATTCTTTGTGTGGTGGAGGTTTTGTGGTGGCGGCTATGGTGGTTGTTGAGTTTGGTGGTAGTGGTGTGATTTTTCGGCGTGTTTTGTTCCCTTTTTGAGGTGGTGGTGGCGGGTTTGTGGATTCTTTGGTGGGGTGGTGGTTAGATGTGGTGTAAATGGAGATAAAGGAAATTGTGATGGTGGTGGTATGCTGTGGGTGGTATGTTGTACGATGGTGGTGACGGTGGTTGTTGCGATGGCGATAACGATAACAGGGTGGAGTGCCTGTGACTAATAAGTAAATGTCCGTGACCAATTATTTAGGCGTCTGTAACCAACTATTTAATTGATTTGTGACTAAATATTAGGTGTTTGTGATTAAAAAATAATTTGTAATCAATAAATTGTAACTTATGTAATTTATACATAAAATGTTACATATAATTTGAATGATCTGTGATCTCGAAATAATATATGATCTATAAAATTTTTGATTTGTGACTACGAAATAATAAGTGATTAATTAATTTGATGATATGTAATCAGTAAATAAATATGTGACCATTAATCATGTATCTATAATTTTATTATTTTTATTTAATAAATATTTTTAATTAATTAAATGCATAAATGATTTTCAAACTATTTATTTGATTTTTGAATTGGGGATGAACATAACCCCTGAAATATGATTTTTTTTCCATACTTCTCATTTCTCATTTTTCCTGTTGATTCTGGAAACGATCAAGCCTGAAGCCTCTGCAAGCCAGAAAGAAAACAGTACTGGTAGCAACTACGTTCTGAGGTATTGTCATTTCCGATTCATCACGGTTCATCACTTCATCTCCGATTCTTGGACTAGTCAATGGTCTTTGAATTCAAAACACGGTTTTCTGGATCGGCCCATGCACTAGTCAATAATCTTTGGATTCAAACCCTGGATGTTGAAATTCCTTCAGAAATCATCTACCTTCTGTCACCCTTTCTACACTAACGATCATTGTCAATAGTCTTGAATTCAAAAATATGATTCCTTCAGATATCATCACAGAAATCCTCTCTCGCTTACCAGTGAAACCCATTTTGCGATTCAGGTGTGTGTCGAAAAGCTGGTGCTCAATAATTGATAGTGATGATTTCATTCAGAGGCACTTACGGCAATCTATCACAACATACTCTAATCATAGCATCATTTATGGATACATGTTGACAGGACTTCGTTCCATAGATGTGAATTCATTTGACGAATCATATGCCGTTCAATCCCATGCCGTTCAAACCCCAGTTGATTTCTTGACTTCTGACTACATGTCCAACTCTTGCAATGGGTTAATCCTAGTATCCGCTAAACCCCTACTTTTCCTGTGGAACCCTTTTTCAAGAAGAAAGAAGATTTTGCCTTCTGCCTCCACGATTGAACCCACAACTGAACATTCCAGAGAGTTATATGGGTTGGGTTACAATTCAAGAAACAATGATTACAAAATTATTCGGGTGGTTGAATTTAGGAATGCAGCGCAGCAGTGGATTAACTCTAAAACTGAAATTTATAGTCTGAAATTAAATTCTTGGAAATGTGTCCAGAGTTTTCCTTATCCACTTCCCCTTTCCCTTGGAAACTTGGGAATACATGTCAATGGGACATTGCATGCGCTTGTGGAGGATTTTTCCCTTGTGCATTCGAACACATCAATTAGAATCGTGTGTTTTAGTGTTGAAGAGGAGAAACGTTACGAGTTAATGTTGCCAACATACATTCCGATAGAGAATGTTAAGTTGGAGT